GCCCAGGCTCGGCCCGTTTACAGCCCTACCCGATACAAATCACATCTTTGCCATTGACGCCAGATTTTATAACTACCTCAACTTTAGATGTGCGAACAACCTGAAACTTCCTTTTAATCAACCATTGATCATTGATGTGAATGATTTTTCGACTGCTTATCTTTCAAGATTATCTGAATCACTAAATAGCCTCCGAGCAATCAAGGAACTCTCTCTTCCACTAAAATAATTATTACACATATTGCAATTTTCTGCTTCTTCATGGTTCTAACTAAGACCTCAATGAGTCGTTAAATAACTCTGATCTCATAACCGACAAATTTGTATCAAAAGGTTCAAAAAATCATACTTGACTTGTTCACTCTTGTCACTCATTTTCTGGATGCAATGATTTAAGTTATATAAATGCAATGCTCTAAAGAGAAATCAATTTTCAAAATACGAACACTACAGTAAAACAAGTGTGTCTACTAAAACAGCAATGACAATAACACCATAATCACTCAACAATAAAGCCACATAAACACAACAATAAAACTGTCTTCAACAGTACAATGACACAACAATAAAATCATAATAATACCACAATAGCCCCACAATAACACCAATATCACTCATTAACAAAAATAATACGAGAATACTGTTAAGATAATACCGCGATAACACTTAAAACCATTACCCCGGACTAAATGCCAGCATAACATAAACAATTATAGCGACAACAACTTCGAATAAATTGAAAATCATTAAAGTAACACTCCGATAAACCCAAAGAAATAACTGATTAAACACAAGCAATGAGATAAATGCCAGAAATATCCCTCCGATAAACAACTAAAGTAACTATTAAATCATTTATTAAACCTCCGATAAAGCCAGACAAATGCCACAATTATCCATTAAATCAAAAAATAAAACTCGCACAAATAAAAAAAAAAAAAAAAAATTATGAGCCAACACAACGGATCTGGAAGTCGTTGTCGTTGTCTTCGTCGAAAACATTTTGATCGAAGCTAAACTAACTTGGATCTAGAAGTCGTTGTCTTTGGTGAGAGAGCAATCCATTTCGACAGCTCCAAACCTTAAAGTGCGAAAATAAAGTGGGGGGGGGACCTTTATGCTTTTCATTTTTCAAAAAAAGGCAGGTCGGGTCGAGTCGCATGAGTTAAAAAATAAGGAATTTACATATTGTGTTTGCGGCGCATGATTCCACGTGGCAGTTTCTACTTGGGTACCACATGCTTGCATACTTTGCAATTATGGAATAAAAATTCGCCCGCGAAGGCAGCTGACATTTCTAACGGGCTGCTGAAGAACCCGTTCCGGGCTGGCCCGATGTTAGGCCCGGGCAGAAGTTCCAGCAAAATTTCCCGCGCAAGCATATCGCTAGGGCGAGACCAGCGATCCAGAGAGAGAATGGAGGTAGAGAGGGTGCGGCTTCTAAGCTTGGCGATTGATTTTGGATTCGACGAGGAGGAAGCCAAAAAGTGCTTGGATAGGCTCGTTGATCTGTATGGTAGGATTCTTACCCTCTTCATCCCTTCAATTTTATTGCGATCCTCCAACATTTTTTTTATTTTTGTTGCTCAATTTGTGCTTTCTGGTTCGTTTTGCTATTTCGCTTGTTCTGTTCAACTTAGGTTGGCTATAGCAGATTTAGTTGGGTTATTTGGAGAATGGGATAATCTAGAAATGGATGCGTGAGGCAGGTTTTTCATTTGTTTGCGGTGCTTGAAGTTTGTTTTGTTACTTTTTTTCCTTTTCATTTGCTTGTAGGTTTACGTGGAATGTTGGATTTTGTCGATGCTGTTCTTTTTAGAGGTAGAAATGTAAGTTGAAAAACTGATCCACATGAGAAGTGATGTTGGAGTTGAGTTTCTCATATACTACAGCACTATTATTTATTGGTTTTAGTTTGTTCGTTTAATGGGTGTTCAACGATAGAAGCCTTCTCACTCTCACGAACTCAAAAGGTGTGTTTTAGCTTGAAAAGTGTGTTCGTGTTTAACTCGTTTGCTTAGCGAGCTGAACACGAGCTGTTCATGAACAAAAAGTCATTTTGACAACCCTAATCACGTAGCCATAAGATGTTAAGGGTTGGGGCAAGATTTAAAAATTATTTTTCCTAATACTTTATTTCTAATCCCAAGCCATTGGCTTAAGCTTCTGTACTGATAAATGACAACTCACTAACATATTGGGCTCAAATTTCCTTTCAGAGAAAGTTTTGGCAGAAATTTATAGATTGCTGTCCTTCAGAAAAAATTATTCTAGATGTTGAAATGTTAGAAAACTCATTTTTTTTTTAATTCCTTGTGTTTGTCATATAATGGTTGCATGTCATTGGGTGTAAATTATAGCTTTAAAGTACTGGGAAATCTTAGTGTTGAAATGAAGGAAATTGCTTCTGTGGCTCTCTTGTGAAATTAGCTTAGTTAAGATGGTTTAACGGATGGGGTTATGCTATCTGCCAGGAGCCATGCTGGATTTCATATGGATAGTTTCAAAAGTTTTATATGGATTTAATATGGATTTCATAATCAAGAAATGTTCAAGGGATGTTGCTCCTCTACAGGCATTTTTGGATTGAGTTGGCTCTTGGTGAATGGCACACGATAGTTTCAAAAGTTTTATATTTCGGGGGAAGTGATTATATAGAGGGAATAAAAGTGCATTTCCTAATACTTTATTTCTAATCCCAAGCCATTGGCTTAAGCTTCTGTACTGATAAATGACAACTCACTAACATATTGGGCTCAAATTTCCTTTCAGAGAAAGTTTTGGCAGAAATTTATAGATTGCTGTCCTTCAGAAAAAATTATTCTAGATGTTGAAATGTTAGAAAACTCATTTTTTTTTTAATTCCTTGTGTTTGTCATATAATGGTTGCATGTCATTGGGTGTAAATTATAGCTTTAAAGTACTGGGAAATCTTAGTGTTGAAATGAAGGAAATTGCTTCTGTGGCTCTCTTGTGAAATTAGCTTAGTTAAGATGGTTTAACGGATGGGGTTATGCTATCTGCCAGGAGCCATGCTGGATTTCATATGGATAGTTTCAAAAGTTTTATATGGATTTAATATGGATTTCATAATCAAGAAATGTTCAAGGGATGTTGCTCCTCTACAGGCTTTTTTGGATTGAGTTGGCTCTTGGTGAATGGCACACGATAGTTTCAAAAGTTTTATATTTCGGGGGAATTGATTATATAGAGGGAATAAAAGTGCATTTCCTAATACTTTATTTCTAATCCCAAGCCATTGGCTCAAGCTTCTGTACTGATAAATCACAACTCACTAACATATTGGGCTCAAATTTCCTTTCTGAGAAAGTTTTGGCAGAAATTTATAGATTGCTGTCCTTCAGAGAAATTTATTCTAGATGTTGAAATGTTAGAAAACTCAATTTTTTTTAATTCCTTGTGTTTGTCATATAATGGTTGCATGTCATTGGGTGTAAATTATAGCTTTAAAGTACTGGGAAATCTTAGTGTTGAAATGAAGGAAATTGCTTCTGTGGCTCTCTTGTGAAATTAGCTTAGTTAAGATGGTTTAACGGATGGGGTTATGATGCTATCTGCCAGGAGCCATGCTGGATTTCATATGGAGGAGTTCTTATAAATGTATTTTTCTACTTTCTTTCAGTATAGGTTGCAGGGAAATACAACCAAACATATGCTTTTGACTTTGGAATAGATTCCGGAGAAAGATTCTAGTGCATCAATTGAATTTGCGTAAAAAAACATAGGCCTTGTTTGAGATAAGTTTTGTTTTTTTATTTTTGTGTCTGTTTTTTCTTTTATTTTTAATAACAGGTTTGTTTATAATATATTTTTATATGTTTTATTTTGGTATAAATAAATTAACATGTGTTTGAAAACACTCAAAAACTTTTTAGGTGTTTTGAGTATTTTAAAAACAATCACATGTGAAGGTGCCTTTTGGGATCACCTTTATTTTGTTTTCTATTTTTTTTGCTTCTATTTTGTTTTGTTCGTATTTTGATTTGAAACAAAACATGTTTGGTTAAGATATTATTTTTTTTGAAAATACTCAAAATACCTAAAAAATTATTTTGAGTGCTTTCAAAAATATTTTTTATTTGTTTTTAGAAACAAAAAATAAAAATTATATTAAAAACACATCAAACAAACATGCTTTTGAAAACAATAGAAAAAAAAAATGATCCTAAACAATCCCTAATCAAATATGCCAAATATGTTTTGTTTCAAATCAACAAAACAAAAAATAGAAAATAAAAAAATAAAAATGATCCAAAACGGACTTTTTCTTGTTCTCCAACCATTATTTTTAACTGCTTGACATTTTTTCCCATTATTTAAGGGTTTACAGCATATTGTCTCTCTTTATTTGATTAATCATAATTTTTGCAGGTGAGGATGGTGAAGAATTTGTCACCGTGGAGCATTGTGGTGATGACTTTCTTGCTGCATTGGCAGACTCTGTTCAAGAGAATGAGGATTGGGATGATATTCAGGCTGTTGAATCTGAAGCTTGTGGATTTTTGAATAACAATTTTGAAGAAGAATATGCTAATAATGTTGAAGAAGCTGTAGAGAGGGACATATCTCAACATTCCAAGAAACAAAATCCTTTTATGCAGTGGAAATTTGATAATTTAGATAGTTCAAGATCATTCACTAATGCCGAAGATCCAGACTTGGAGGTATTGCACCACAAGGATATTTTTTTCAGGCAATCCATCGATTTTGATTTGAAAGTGGGTCAAGCTGATGGTCAATGCCCCTTAAAGGAGTCTTTAAATTCAAAGGTAACAAGACTTGCTACTTTCATTATTTTCACATGATTTATAGATGGAAAGTTTAGACACATGCCACTCAATTCTTATGTATTTACATATCTAACACATATACTTCAGTTTTTACATTTATTTGCTTTTCTATGCATGAAAAGGTGTACTTAACTTTTTAAAAGATTAAAATGTTGTATTTTTTGTGTGATACGAAGGATTTGCGTTATATAAATGTAAAAAAGCAAAGTTTATGTGCTAAATATGTATATACATATGAGTTGGGTGCTATGTATGTAAATGCTCCTTTATAATTTGCTTTTAATTTTTAAGTTATTATATCATTTTGTTGATTTTTTTCTAAGCTTGAATGCATACGACTTAGTTAAGATGATTTATCATTAGACTCTGTAATATATATATATATATATATATAGACAGGATCTAAGATCACATCAACTATGCATATCTCAATGACCATGCTAGATTTCTCTAAGAGAGTAATCTTATCAAACATGTACTAAGGTTAGAAAAGTTGGGTTGGAGATTTGAGATAATAACAAATATGTACTCGTAAGAAGGTAATGGTGCATCAACTTCTTAAGAAAGGGGAGTCTTATGGAAGTCTTATAAAGTATGTCATAAAAAATATTGATCAGAAAGCTTAGGATAGTAATCTGAGGCAACAATAACTAGAGAAAGATATTGAACATAGATGAGTGAGATAATTTAATAATCTTTTCAATGAAGTTTTGAAAATACAATCGATATTAGTGATCTTATTATTAATAATAATAATTTTTTTAATTTTTAGCATCACATTAGTAAAAAAGAACGTTGAGTAGGCTTTAAAGAAATTTAAGTGTGGAAAATCAATAGCACCTGATAGTATCCTAATAGATGTATGGAAATATTTAGGAGATTTAAGAATTTCTTAGCTTACTAAAATTTTTAATATTATTTGAAAAACTAAAATGATGCCTGAAGGAGAGGAAAAAGTGTGTTTTGGTTCCCATTTTTAAGAATAAATGGGATGCACGAGTGTGCAAGTTATAGAGGAATTAAGTTAATGTGTCATACATTAAACTATGTGGGATAGTAATTGAACATTGGTTAAGGCATGAGACAAAGATTTCTCATAATCAATTTTGATTAATGTCAGGCAAGTCTGCTATGGAAGTTATATATTCATTGAAATGTTTGATGGAGAAGTACAAAGAGAGTTAGGAAAATCTACATATGATTTTTATTGATTTTGAAAAAGCTTATGATAAGGTTCCAAGAGATGTTCTTTGGACAGTTTTAGAAAAGAAAGTTGTTGTTCTGATTTATTTTCAAGTCATTAAAGATATGCATACTAGAGTCGTTACTTGTGTTTAAACAAAAGAAGGATTGATCAAGTATTTTTCTATTTCATCGGGATTATTTCAAGGATCGGCTTTAAGCCCATATCATTTTGCTTTTGTTTTAGATGCTCTTACAAGACATTTAGTGGGGGATGTACCTTGGTGTATGCTTTTCACTAATGATATCCTTCTTGTGGATAAGTCTAGAGAAAGAGTTTAGAAAAAAAACTGAAAAAAATATGAATTATGAATGTCTACATTATAGTCTAAAGACCTTTGTTTGAGTAGATTTAAAATTGAATACGTTGTAGAAGTAGATCTAGTGACAGAGTTGTGACAATGGATGCTCAAATCACTAAAAGGTGTTAACGTTTTAGATATCACGGGTCTATTGCTCAAGGTGATGGTGATATAGTTGAGGATGTTATTATTAGAATTCAAGTTCGATGATTGAAATAGAGAATTGTAACTAGCCTATTGTTTGATAGAAAATTATCGCTTAAACTTAAAAGGAAAGTATTATAAGATGGTAGTGAATCTGCAATGTTTTATGACATAATATTGGCCTTTAAAAAAGAATCATAAAATTAAGTTAAGTGTTGCTGAGATGAGAACATTTAGAAACAAAATGCAAAATGAATGTATCCGTAAAAGGATTGGTGTAGCTCTAGTGACAGACAAGATTTGAGAGAGCCATGTTTGATGGTTTGGTCACATTAAAGATCGACAATCTGATGATCCGGTTAGGAGAGTAGATGCTTTAGATTCAGCTTATGTTAAGAAAGAAAGAGGTCGACCTATAAAGACTTGGGCATGTTGTATAAAAAATGATCTTAATTTATTAGAATTAAATGAAAATATGACATTCAATCGGACATAGTGGAGAACAATGATTCATTTAGTCGACCATGCTTTATAAAGGCTTCGTCCTCTTCTTCTACTTCTTTTCAGGTTTAACTAGAGGCTGATATGTGAGAAAATACAAGCAAACCACTTAAATGTTCTAAGAGCACAACAAATATGTGACTCTCAATGAGAAGAGGTGCAACAAAAAGCTCATTAATGTAATTACTGAAGTTAGATGGGATTCTATGGTCATTTAGATTGAAATTTAAGTTAGATGGGTCAATAGTTGAGCCAACCATATTTAAGTGGAAGCTTTATTTTTCTATGTATGTGGGGAGATGTGCTCATCTTCAAAAGCATGTATTTGTGTTTGATTTAGCAAAACTTATATTAACAAATTGATAAGCTTGTTGAAATTTTTATAATGTTTGAGCTTATCTTCAATCTTGTAATACTTGGCATTCATGATAAACTCAATTTTTTGGGTTCTTTTATCATCAAAGTAAAATTATATTTTTTTAATAAAGAAAGGCATCGTAGGCTATTTTTGTGGCATTTAGCTTAATTTGGGCAGTATTTGGATTTTAAAATTTCTTTTGTCGTTATCTATGTTAGAGTTTTTCTCTTAGTTATTTATTTTGTTCCCATTAGTCATTCTGATATATTTTAGCATTTCCTATTAGTTTTAATTTTGTGAAATTAATTTTTTTATAGTCATCCATTCTATGTAGGGGTGTAAACAAGTCGAGTCGAGCTTAAGCCACCCTCGACATAAGCTTGAGTTTGATTAATTTTATCAAGTTCGAGCTTGAGCTTGAGCTTAAGTTTACTAGTTTGAACCTTGCGAGCTGGTTTGTTTATCATAAAAGAGAGAAAATGATATTAATAAGATGATAAATAAAAAGAATAATTAAGAGATGAATAAGAAGAAACCACCTAATATACAATATAAAATATTATTTTGTAAATATTTTTAATACTTTAAAGAAAATGTCTTGAAATTTAAAAGATTTTAAATATATTTTATATTATTATTTTTGTTAATGAGTCTGCCCACGAGCTAACGAGCCAAGTCGGGGCTGGCTTGAGCTTGGCTTGTTAGTTCATCGACCTTAGTTCACGCGCCAATTATGAAGTCTCGAGGCGGCTCACAATTTGTCTCAATTACCTTACACTCCTAATTTTAGCTAATCAAAGACATTATCCAATTTTTTGAATTAGTCTAAAATTTTTTTAATCTTGTCCTTTTCATCAAATGTACAAGTTTTATATTTGTGCATAGTGTAGGGGTTATTTAGCGATGTAAACAAATGCATTGGTGTAAACTAGTGAATTAAAAAAAAAAACAATAAGTATCCAGGTAGAAGATGATAAATTGATGATTTAAATAATACTTGATTAAAAAGCCTCCCATATGAGGAGGAAGCTGCAATGGGCTATTAAATACCAAGTCGTCCTTAAACAATTTAGGTCTTTTTTGTAAAAAACCATTTTAGTCTTATAAAGACGCAAACTACTTGTGTATATTTATATGTATGCGTGCCTATATATATACCTAAATGAATAACCATAACAATATATATATATATATATATATCATGAAAGTTGTATGAGAGGGCCCAATAGAGGCACCCTACCCATACGATACCAAGTACAGTAATACCCCAACAAAAAGATACAGATGGACTCAAAAAAATTTAAAACATGCAGAAAACAAATAGCTAGAGACTTAGTCAATTTAGTCCTGCCTCTTCCCCTAGTTTTAGGAGCGGAGCTAGATAACAAACTTTGAAATTGTATATAAATGATTATCCATTGTCAGGAGTAACCAAAATATCATCCATTAAGTTTCCAAGTTGGAGTGTGCCACCAGCCTTCTTCTACCGAGAATCGCTTAGAAGTGTAAACATGTCTTTCTTCATCTGGAGACTGCTCATATGATCCTCGGTCTGGTTAGATACTAGAACCGCAGTAGAAGTAAAGATAGTCGTTGCCACAGCGATAGGATCTAGTGTATGTGAAGTGTGAATTGTCACATATGCACCTGATGCTTCCTGAATAGGAGCTGTTGGGCTATCCTGACTTTCGGTTCGAACATTATGGGGTGCAATAACAGCATGTTCCTGTTTTTGACTATTGATTCTCAACTGTGAGTGCAATTTAAAACATTTCTTTTGTGGATGTGCAAACATCTTGCACTGATTGCAATAGTAAAGTTTTTGTTCCATAATGATTTTTTACCAATAACCATTGTGAGTAGAGCCAAGATAGACTTCTTCTACATCTGATAGTATTATATCCATTTCAATCAAAATCTTTGCAATAAAGGGCTTTGAGAAGTGAACTGTAGGTATAGACAACCTGCGAAGGTTTTCCAAGAATAGTCTCAATTGTATATAAGATAGGCATGTCAAAGAGTTGAAGCTTGAGTTCAGGTAATGAGAATCGGCTATGTGCAATTGAAGGTTTTTGACTGGGATCAAAATTTGGGGTCCATTTGAGCAATTTAATATGATTTTCTTCGATTGTGATGAATTTCTTTGAAAAAATTCTTATGTAATCTTCTTCTATGCTCATTTATATTATAACATGTCTTCCGTCGAAAAAACCCATCTGCCAAGCCCCAACTAGTTTGAAATCTTCAAAAATCTTCCTAATAATTTTAATCCTAGGGCGATATAATTGGAACTTTCCAACTATTATAAATTTTTATTTTCCTGCACGATTTGAAATTTCAAGATGAGAGAAATATATTGTTGGTGTGTCCGACTTTTTCTCTATTTTTTTTTTTTTTTTTTTTTTTTTTTTTTGACACGAATAACAAAACAGAATCACAGTACCTGCGGGAACATGACTATCTCTATGAGGTTGTGAGATGGAAAGGGAGTTGCGCGTTTGTGAACCACTGGGTTTGGCGGGGTTATCACCATCACCGCCGAGGGCGGAAAGCCCTGAGGCCACGCAAGCACTGCAGGAAAATTGGCGCAGCTTGCCAACTGCCGCCGACGAACGGGACTCCAGCAGTCGAGTAGTTCTAGCAGAACTGGCGGAACAGTCGAGCGGCGTAGCAGACGAGCCCTTCAGTTCTGCTTCGAACAAGAGAAACGACGAACGTTCGTGCCCAGAAACCGTCCTTCAACGAGCGGCGAGCACGACGAAGGACGACGGACCAGGGGCAGCACGACAAGCTCTTCGAAACAGACGAAGCACTAAGCAAGACGACAGAAGACGAAACAGACGAAGTCAGGCGCGAAACCCTTCTTCTTCTTCAAGCTTGAAGTCACCGTAGCAGAGGCTAGGTTCGCCATAAGGCGAAACCTTGGTAGAGCCTTCCGCTTGATGAAACATTTTAGTATGGAGCTTTTATACAAAAGAAAGTACAGGAAGTGGAGAAGAAAACCAAAAAATACATATGACACACCCTTAGGGGTTCCTCTCCTCACATTACAACTCACACAAAAAAATTATCCTAAAAAATACAGGTATACCCAGAAACCCATATAACCAAAAATAGGTAAACCTGTGAACGGTAAAGCTTGACAAGCCAAATAGAAAACATGTATAAAAGATGTCTTCACAAGAGAATAGTTCTCCATCAGCATTATCACGGACAACCAACCAGCAGAAAACCATGAGATCAAAACTGCCAAGAGAAACAATAACCTGCAAATGTGAAGTGCAAACCCGAAGCAAACCGAAACAAATCATCCAGAAAGCCAATAAATATGACATAAGGCAGGTTTAAATTATCTCCAATGCGGAGTCTTCTAAGATGAGCAGGTGGGTAAATCCCAACGTGACAAACCTCTCCAGCACATTTGGCAAGCCAATCAGCTGGGGAGTTGCCCTCCCTATGAATGAAACTCCAATTTATCTCGAGATGCTTCTCAGCCATAGCATTCATGATACATTTAAAAGTGCATAAAATATCCCATGAGGGTGGAGAAATACCCAATAGAATATCAAAGAGCAATTTAGAATCTATTTCCACCTCTAATTTGTGAAAATTAAAAACACTAGCCACCGTTTGTTAAAGCCAGAAAACCCCCCCGCATTCCGTTGCCAAAGGGTTATCAGCCGCAACAGAGGAGGAGAAAAAACAGAGCCATCTACCTTCAAAATCTCTAAAAATTCTCTCGCCCGCGGCATAATCTGGATGCCAATAGCCATCCACATTTAATTTAGCATAATTTGGTGGGGGAGGGGGAGGGGGAGGGGAGTCCACCTAATGAGTCGAGGAGGCTTTAAAACAGAAACATCAGTGGAACCAACCCTTAAGACTTTGTTATAATAGGCAATCACAGATGCAACGGTCATAGAAGCTGTGGGGGGCGGGGGAAGTATGGTATTTAAAGCTATTTCTGGCATTCCAGAGAAATATGACAACCCCCAATTATCATTCTAGAAAGAGATATTACCATTGCATATATCCCAAAACATGAAGTCTTTAGCAGTGGTTCTAGCATTAACAACAACTTTCCAAATACTAGAATCACCAACATTCCACGAAACCAGGGAAGGATGAGTTTGAGCACAATATTTTTGATGTAGAAAGGTAGCCCAAAGAGATGAGCCCAATCTGAATTTAAACCAAAGTTTGCAAAGATTAACTTCCACAGTATGCTTCAAGGCTTTAAAACCGAACCCACCAGCCTTTTTAGGTTTATAAACTTTATGCCAAGACCCCCAAATTTTTTTTGCTCCATTCCCTACCCAAAGGAATTTATTGAAAAGCCTCTCCATCACATTGATAGCACTTTTTTTGTGGTTAAACACTTGCAAAACATATAATGGAATATTCTGTAGAACACTAGAAAACAAAGAGATCCTGCCTCCAGTAGAAAAAAAAAACATTTCTCAAATCGTAAATTTTGTGTTTGATTTTATCAATAACATCATCCATTTGAATCTGTTTTTGCAAAAGAGAGAATGATGCTTATGCAATAATAGCATATACATTTATGAAGAACGTTGAAGATTTTAAGCATTTTTTATATTCATATTAAAACTACTTAATCAAGAGAACATATAAAAAAAATATAGCTTCAATTTTCATGTTAAAAAATTATTAAAAATGTTTCATGCAATATTTCTTTGTGGATCACACCCTTACATTGCTTGATACTCTTATACATATCCAATGCAAGGTTAGGTTTTAAGATAGGATTTTCTTTCATTTGTTGACGTATTCATTGTTAGGAGGACCAGCAAATTCATTTTGGAATTCTCCATTTAACATATCGATATCCTAAATCGTTAGTATGATTTTTTACATAAGTAAAATTAATTTATCTGCAAAGATAAAAAAAAAGATTTTATCACTTGGTTTGAAAATGCCTTGTAGATGAAGTAGAATATCTCTTGATACGAAGTCGTTTTGTTTGAAGAAAGCCTTTGCGTAGGAGTTCGAAAGAAGAATTGATGCTTACAGTGGTGATAATGCCTTTTTGGATAGTTGAGTTTTTCTCTCTTTTAGGATGGCAAGCAGTTTCAAATCAAATGCTTAAGTTGTTAGCTAACTATTGAGTGTGATTTTAAATTAATTGGATATGTGAATAAAAAGCCATGAATTCCTTAAATGGATTGTTTAGTATGTAAACTAAAGGTGTTAACATTTATTGGAGAGTTGTATCTCAATTTTGTGCGGTTTGAAATGGTTTAAGGTTTTGGGAAGGTGGTAAAGATGCTGAAAAACAAGTATCGAGAGGAGGAGAGAGTTAGAAGTCACAAGCCTTAACTATGATTTATTTGTAAATCAATACAAAAGTTTATGGATATGAGCTTTTGAAAGACATCAAAGCTATGTTTTTGTTGAAGTCATGGGGTGTAAATGGTACGTGGTGTGCTATAAAAAAGAAGGGAAGCACACAAGAAAATATGTTAAAATTCCTCCATGAAGAGTGCATCCTTATGCTATATTATTTTGAAAGCTAAATAAACCTTTCCAATGTATGACTCTTTAAAATCTTTGATTAGCATTCAGAATCATCAATTTGGGCTGGTTGATGAATTTCCAAAAAAGGGGCTTAATTTTTTGTTTTTTTTCTTTTCAGGTCATGCATGACCAACTTCTCAAATTCCAAAGGAAAATAATTAAAAAAATAAATTTTATTTAATTTTAATGAAGTTTGACCTTTGTAATTTACTTAGTGAGAGACCTCATTGTTTGTCTTTATCATAGCTGAAGAGGATTGCTAACACTCATCACTATAGAGAATTGTTGACACCTGTCATTGCAATTTTGCCATAACTATACACAAATTCTTGAGGTTCTTTCGTTTGGTTGTGAGTATAGAGGTCTCTTATGTCTATAGGTATTAACGATTCTCTTGGACATTTTTTTTATGCTTGAAAGGTCAAAATTACTTTTAGTCTCTGCTTCCCAGGGTAGGCTCTGTCAATTCTAGACGTCACACATGAGGAAGGGCCGGAAGTGTTGGTTTTCATAAATTGAAGTGCCAAATTGGATACTCGCAATAGTTTGGGATTGAAATAGATGCACTTTTAAGTATTCTAGGAACCATTTTGGCCATTTACTTGAGGAGCTGCATACCCATTTTCTTGTTTCAAGGGAAATAACTATAATTTCCCTTGAAATTGTGGGCTATTAATAGGGAAAACTAACCGCTTTTAGCTCATGTTCAAATGGGTCTCATCAAACCAAATGGTAAAGCAAATCAGTAATGGTAACATACAAATTGATATCTGTAATAAGTGCATGCATTTTAGTTATTTCTGTAGCTCTGCTAAAGCTATCATAGTATATGAGTTGCTGTTTAATGTTCACACTGTGTAGGGATATTGATTTTTTTTTTCCAGTTTGTTGCTTTTGTTAGTCTTGTTTGAAATCTGTTTATTAGCTTGTAAGATTCATACACTTAATTACCAATTTATTTCTCTCACCAGCTATAAAACTATAGTATTTATGTTTTTTTTCATTAATGTGATAAGTGTCAAAATAGTCTGACTTTTTGTGTTGACCATCTTAGTCTTGGTGCTTATAAAAGCGTTAATTTAGTTCCAAATTTTTTTAATATATTTTATGAGAAAAGTGTCAAAATAGTCCCCTTTCTCTATTCAGGATGCTGTTTTAGTCCCATAGTTAATATAAGTGTCAATTTACTCTTCATATTCTTTTAAATGGGTTGAAATAGTCCTCATCAAGACTATTTAAGAACCCATTAAAGTAATTCGGGGACTAATTTAACACTTTATAAACTCTGGATTTAAAATGATCCAATGTAAATAGTTAGGGGACTATGTTGGCACTTTATTTTTTATAGGCTCTGATTAAAATGCTCCATGTAAACAGTCATGGGACTATTTTGATCCTTTACTCATTTCATAGGTGTTTTGTGCACCTTCTGTTGCCTTGCACTAGGTAATGTAGTTTATCTGGTAATGTTATATTTTACTTGAGTGGGTGTCTTATTTATTTATTACTTAAACAAGTAGGCATTTTCTTTGGAATTCCTTATATTACTATGTGAATAAACAGGACTATATGGAAAGTAAAATCTGTTCTTCAGACATATGTTATTTTTTTTCTTAAATACTTGCCAATTATTTTTTTCTCGATAAAATATTAATTTAACTGTATGAAGGCTGGGCGCAAATGTCAGAAGAATGAATCAGCATCCACTTATTCTTGCAAGAATGAACCAGCCAACACCTCATTGATGTTTGAAGATCTGAAGGCAATGGATCAGATTGGATTGGCTAATTTTGTTATTTTTGGCAACAGAACTTTCAGACCTTTGCAGTATGAAGCCTGTAAAGCTGCAATGGAAAACAAGGATTGCTTTGTTCTTATGCCCACTGGTGGAGGTAAAAGCTTATGTTATCAGGTAGTATATTTTGTCTGTGTGATCTGATGTTTATGTTTCAGCATTATAGGGAAGTTATTTGTATATAATCCTGAAGTTATAATGTAATTACCTGATTGGTTTGTTGGTTTACACAAGCAAGAAAAAAAAACTACAATTATTGTTGCTTTTTTGCTTTCTTCAGTGCATTTTATATTAAGCGCATTTACATATTTACCACACAATTCTTATGTATTTACATATCTAACACCAAAACATTCATATTTACATGCATACCAGACAAATTTTTATCATAACATCAAAATACAACCATCACTACTTTTTTAAAAGTGAAATATGCTTTTTCATGGCATAGGTATATGACAGCAAGATTTCATAAATGTAAATATCAAAGTTTGGGTATTAGATATGTAAATACATAGGAATTTTGTGGTGTGTATGTAAATTTCCCTTTATATTATTCTTGTAAGTTTCAATTAAACCAGATTTGCAACCTCTTCAACTTTGAAATATGGAAATACATGAAATTATTTGAAGATTTATAAACAAACCACTCAATTCCTATGTATTTACGTATCTAACTCTAAACTTCAATTTTTATATGCATGCCACCTTACCCAAGCATGAAAAGGTGTATTTCGCATTTTAAAGTTAAAATGGTGGTATTTTTGATGTGATATGAAAGATTTACGTGGTATAATGTAATAAGTAAAGATTAGATGTTAGATATGTAAATACAGTGATTGGGTGGTATTTTTATAAATGCCCCATAATTATTACATTCTGTCATTTCCTTGTGTAGGTGATGGCATTTGTTTGTATGCGGAGTCATGAATTTAACTCGGGGAAATTTGCCCCCCTGAACTTCATAAATATATGGAACTAAAATGAACTTCTTGTCTCCAAAAAATTGATTTGTGTTTTTTTTTGCTGGTAAAATTTTTTATTGTTGAAATCTAGAAGATCTAAATTCTTTTTCGAACTCATTTTTCGAAGTTCTTTGTGAAACTTGTCATCTGAGAGTATTGCAAAATGCCATTGATTGGCTACATTTTTTATTATATATTGGACAGGGTGCACTTGCTTAAATATATGGTGGGATTCATGTAATTAGATTTTGGCTCGATTCTTATGTATTCACATATCTAACACTTATACTTTAATTTTTACATGCATAGCTCTTTCCAGGTGTATTTTACCTTTTATAAGTTAGAATGGTGGTATTTTTGAAGTGATATAAAAGATTTGGGTGGTATAAATATAAAAAGCAAAGTATAGGTTTTAGATATGTAAATACATAGGAATTGGGTGGTATGCATGTAAATGTTCCGTTTTAGTTATTTCAGCTAAGATATGACAATATTTTTTCTTTGAAATTGATCAATTAAATGTAGGCTTCTATTTGGGATTGTTCGCGTAAAAGATCTCCTTAGATCTTTATTTTGTAGAGGGACTCTACATCAAGCGCTTTATCTACATTTTCTTACAAATTCCTATAGGACTATACAACAACAACAACAACAACAACAACAACAAAACCTTTATCCCGCTAAGTGGGTCGGCTACATGAATCCTTTTTCTCCATTGCGTCTTATTGAGCGTCATATTTTCATTTAATTCTAATAAATTAAGATCATTTTTTATACATTTTTTCCTAGGTCTACGTCTGCCTTTCTTAACATAAGTCGAATCTAATTCATCGACTTTTCTAATCGAATCATCAATTGGTCAACGTTTAATGTGGCCAAACCATCTAAGACGACTCTCTCTAATTTTGTCCGTCACTGGAGTTACACCAACCCTATCATATATTCATTTCACATTTTGTCCCTAAGTGTAAAGCCACTCATCCACCTAATCATTCTCATCTCGGCAACACTTAACTTAGTTTTATGCTTCTCTTTTAAAAACCAACATTCAACGCCATAGAGCATTGTATGTCTCACTACTATCTTATAAAATTTTTGTTTTAGTCTAAGCGGTACTTTTCTATCACACAATAGGCCCAAAGCATTCCCCCACTTCAACCAACCAACTTGAATTCAACTAATAACATCCCCATCAATGTCACCGTCACTTTGAACAATAGACCTAAAGTATCTAAATCGTTCACTCCTTTTAATAATTTGATCACCCATAGTTACATTTTTGTCACTAGAGCTGCTACTACTAAAATTACATTCCATGTATGCAGTTTTAGTCTACTCAAACGAAGGCCTTTTGACTCCAAAGTAGACCTGCATAATTCAAGTTTTTCTTGAGCTTTTTCTCTCGTCTTTTCTACGAGAAAGATATCATCAACAAAAAGCATACACCAAGGTACATCCTCCTGTAAGTGTCCAGCAAGACCATCCATAACTAAAGTAAAAAGATATGGACTTAAAGCCAATCCCTGATATAAACCAACATAAATAAAAAAAAATATGTGGTCAATCCTCTTATGTTCAAACACAAGTAACAACTCTTGTATAAATATCTTTAATGACTTGAATATAAGTCATATCAACACATTTCTTCTCGAGAACTCTCCAAAGGATATCTCTTGGAACCTTATCGTAAGCTTTTTCTAAATCAATAAAAATCAAATGTAGATTCTCCTTATTATCTCCGAACTTTTCCATCAAACTTCTCAATAAATGTATAGCTTCCATAGTAGACCTACCTGACATAAATCCAAATTGATTATGAGAAATTTTTTGGATAATATTTTGGACGCAAAAATTGAACAATATTTTGGATATCGCAAACTCAAATTACAATAAGTAGACTTCTTTCAGTATGGATAAACTGATGTAGGATTTATATCTTTTGTTGATCAAGACAAAATGTATTTTTTTCTTAGAATACTTTCATTGTTGTTCCACTCAATTGTTTCAGCCCTTTAAGTATTAGGATCTTTGGGGCAAACTTGTAAACCATCGATGTCCAATTCCTTGGCAGCATCTAACTAATTTGCAATCCATCAAAAGCTATAGCATTGGCCTTACTTACCGAGTTACTTGCAAAACTCCAAGCTTCTTTGTAATGACTATATATTTATAGAATATTCATATTTTCATTATATTAAAGCTCATTCTTTAAAATTTAAATAACCTTTGTACCTTCTCACTTTACCGTGGAGTTTTCCATAGTTTATATTTGTTTATTTCCAAAGTCTCATTAAAGTTATATGATAATTCTTCTACTGAAAATATTCATTTTACCTAGCATTAAACTTGGCCCAATTTAAGTTTAGCTTGGCTTTTTTAACGACATATCTATGTTCTAAAAATGGAAGATGTGCCTAAAATTGTCTAACAGTATGCATATTCGGATGCTATTCTTATTTTTTTGGTTCTAACGGCAACCCCCCTTACCCTCCCCCCTCCTTCCAGCCACATGCCACCTAGCCTATCCCCTGCTTTCAGCCGCCAGCCATGCCCTTGCCACAACTGTCCACGGATATTCCTACCTGGCCCTAGTCTAATATTGATGTTTGTTGTGTTTTTGGCTTCCGTTTGAGTTTTGATTGTAACCATATATGTTTTGAGTAATAATATTTTCTTCCACAATTGCAGTTTAGGTTAACTCTGGTATTAATAATCCATATAAAAGTTGAGACTAATTTCTTACATATATTGCTTTTCCTTATGTAAGTTCATATCATTGCCTAAAATTTAGCTATGAATCACGCAGTTCTAATATGTTTCTGTATCTCACATCTAAACTTTCATATTTACACACATGGAACTCAAGTCTTTATCATTACATAAGTCTTTATCATTACATAAAAAATAGCACTACTACCACTTTTTAAAGGTGAAATACGCCTTTTCATGCATAGGTTTAAAGCACTAAAGTGGTATGTATGTAACTATGAAGTTTAGGCATGATATATGTAAATACATAAGATTTGTGTGCTAGGTATGTACATTTGCCTTCCATGTAATTTGTCTAGTTTATTGGCTGATTAACTTAATGTTATTTCTTACAGCTTCCGGCAACTCTTCGTCCTGGCGTTACTGTTGTCATTTGTCCTCTCCTTTCATTAATTCAAGATCAGGTCTTTACTTTGAATGTTAAATATGGAATAGCGGCAACCTTTCTGAATTCGCAGCAAACTACTTCAGAATCATTGGCAGTAATTCAGGAACTTAGGTACAATGTCTTGTTTGGAGCTCTATTGATGTTTTATTCTTAGAGGTTTTAAGATGTGTTGCATAATGATTACTACACTAACAATAGTTTTTGAACACTTTTGTTCGGTTGATTCTGATAGTATTTTTAATATTTTCACCCTATATTTCATAACAAATGTAAAGAAACACTGTTCATCTTATAGGGTTTTATTTCGATGGATGAAATCAGGCTGTATTAACTATATAAAAATTAAACGTCGGCAGTTGGGTAATGATTTTTAGGCGATGGTAGTAGAGCAATGGCAATTGGGCGATGATAATCAGAAAATTACGGTTGGGCCATGGCTGGGGGACAATGGCAGTTGGGTGATGATGGTCAACAACAGTGGTTTTTGATAGTATTCATCGATATTAATCATCGCAGAGGGCTCTTGAATTTTTTTAGATCTCCAAGCTCTTTCCAATAAGCAAGTCACTTTCATGTGGATAATGGGATCTTGTTAAGGTATATGGTGCAAATTTTGGGTAATTATAGCACAAAATCTCAAACATTTTATTTTATAATTTGTCTTAGTATTTTTATTATAAACGATTATTTCAACATTTAAATGCTCTATCGATATCGGAGCTAAATGATTTTGGGCTCATTAGATTTCTTTTATCGAGATGTTTGTTTTGATAAATTTTCTTATGTTGTATTAATCATTGTGAGGATTAAATCTTTATTGTAATGTCTTTGTGCATGAAACTAGGAGTTTCTATACTTTGAATGAATTGCAACTTAGGTGGTGTTCTTAAAACTTAATAGTTAAGTGTGATTGTCAGTTGTAGTGGAATTGTTTTCTGATCTCCTGGGAGGAGTCTCTTCCCTCTCGTTGGGGTTGTATCCGATGATAAGTGGTGCTTCGGTTGTATCCTGCTCCGACGTGGTGTTGTACACTTTCAATCTCTTTCGCTTCTTCTTCTGAACCTTCTCCTACCACTGGCCTTAGCCACCTACCACCCCATATTCCTCCACCACTTTGCTGCCACCCCTACATTCCTCCATGATCTCGTCGTCCAATCTTCCTACAACCAACCAAACACCACCCCAACTTACCAAAGAACCACCCGACCTTTCCCATCTTTCTCTACCACCCCGCCGACGCCCCATCGCCTTTGGGCATCTTCCTACATCCTTAACCTGTGATTTGTCCCTTATTGTAATTCCTTTTTATTTGAGTCGTGTTGTAATCCGATTTCTATATTAATAAAAGTTTATTTTTGTATTCCACTGTTTTTCTTACTAGTTTCGGTATCATTTGGTATAAGAGCTAGCTCAATGCTAGTCCTATCCTAGGGTTCGTCAACATCTGCCCCTATCCAACTCACCTCCTTCAATTTTGTTTCTTCCGATTCCCAACCCTAGCCATGCCACCATGGAGAGATACTCTAAAACCGACCTGCGAAGAGATTCAAAGAGGAATTTGTTGTCTACAAGGGAGATTAGCAGAGTTGGATGGAGGAAACCAGGAAGATGTTACCTTCGATTGTGATTGGGAGAGTCGAAGGGAAGACAACGAAGAAGAGATTAATCTATTTCATAGGGAAGATCACAGTCACAAAGAATAATCGAACACATCGTTTTGTTATCCAATATCAAAGGAGCCTGAGAGAAGAGGCTCCTTATGGAGTCAGCATGACTTTGGCATCAATATGAACCTCCCAGAGTTTGAGGGAGGCATGGACCTCGATGAGTTTATCGACTGACTGCAATTAGTCGAATGTATCTTCGAGTATAAGGACATACCAGAAGACAAACGAATCAAGCTAACTGCAATTAAATTAAAGAAGATTGCCTCATTATGGTGGGAAAATTTATAGAGGCAGAGGAGGAGAAAAGAAAGTAAGAAGATAATTAAGTGGGAGAAGATGAAGAAGACAATGTAGAAGAAATACGTCCTGCCATAGTATCTCTGGATATGTTCCTAAAACTTCACAACTTGCAACAATGAGATCTTTTAGTTGAAGAGTTCATGGCCCAGTTTGACCACTTGCAACTAAAGTGCAAGCTAACAGAGCCAGAGGAGCACACTATTGCCAGATACCTTGGGGGTCTAAAGCCCGTTATTAGCAATGTGGTACGGCTACAACCATATTGGATTTTGGGGGATGTATGAACACTAGCCCTGAAGGTGGAGAGGCAACAGAAGGAAAGCAAGCAACAAACATCCTTCAAACCAATATCGTCAACCAAGCAGTCACTTGCAACTTCTAAAGCCGACAAGTGTACCTCGGGAGGAATAGCAAAATTGGACAAGGATCTGATAAGGCGGATCAGCGTGGGAAGAAGTCTGAGAAATGTAGTTCCTTCAATACAGTGCCAACCATGAAGCATTTTAGGTGCCACGACTACGGTCACGTAGCCTTCAGCTGCCCAACAAAACGTGTTGTCACAATGTCAAGCAAATCAATGAGGAATCAGAGGAGAATCCTGAAGAACTTCAGCTCTACGGAGACGAAGGAAAAGCATTAGCCGTTCTACTAATACTACAAGCCGAACAAGAGCGGGGCCAATCCTGGTTAAGGCATAGCATTTTTTGCACCAAGTGTACCGTCAAGGGTAAGGTCTGCAACCTGATCATCGACAGAGAGTTGCGAGAACGTGGTGTCCACATTCATGGTGAAAAAAATAGGATTGTACTCACAAAAGCATCCTTAGTCATATTCACTTACCTGACTGAAGAAGGCAAACGAGATACATGTAGATCAGTAGTTCCTAGCTGATTTCTCCATCAGAGATCAGCTACGCAAGCAGGTATGGTGTGGCATACTTCTTATGGACACCTGCCACATTCTGTAAGGAAGCCCTTTACAGTTTCATCGTAAGACTCAACACGACGGGTTCAAGAACACTTATTCTTTGAAGGAAGGGAATTGTATCGTTTTACTACCTGCTAAGGATGTAAAAGGCGAGAGCGATACAAAGGCAACACTAGTTCCTCATACCACTTTTCTGCAGTCAGTTAGAGATACCCCTGTAACACTAGCATTTGTTCTGGAAGAAAGCGAGGATATCAGCACTACTGCAACTCGCTACAGGACTTTCAGGATGTTACGATCGACAGCTTAATAGAGGGATTGCCGCCACCGAGGGACATCCAACACACCATAGACATGAGCAGATCTCGTTGCAAGATTAAGACATGCGGAGTATGAAGAACTATAATGGCAAGTGCAGGATCTCATTGCAAGATCATGGTGAATGTGCATCGACAACCGAGCCATCAACAAGATTACCATCAAATATCGATTCCGCATACCCCACTTGGATGATCTCTTAGACTAGCTAAATGGAGCCACCATCTACTCTGCGATAAACCGCGCAACAGATAGCATCAAATACGGATGAGGCTAGGAGACGAGTGGAAGGCCGCCTTCAGGATGCAGGATAGACTTTATGAGTGGACTGTTCTGCCTTTTGGTCTATCGTACGCACATAGCACTTTCATGAGATTAATAAACCATGTATTCTGACGTCACATTGGAAAGTTTGTCGTTGTCTACTTTGACAACCTTCTAGTATATGCCAATCGGAGGAGGATCACTTGCATCACGTGAAGGTAGTATTTGAGGTATTGCAAGCTGAGCAATTATATGCCTATCCGAAGAAATGTCACTTCATACCAAGCCAATTATGCTTTCTGGGTTACATCGTGTCTAGTGCAAGCATTTAGATGGATCCCGTAAAATAGAGGTCATTATCAGTTGGGTTGTACCACAATCATTCACCAAGTTGAGGTAAGTTTTGGGACTGGCATCCTTCTCTCAAAGATTCATCATAAGCTTCAGCACTATCACCTCCCCTCCGATTGAACTTCTGTAGAGGAAGGAGTTTGCTTGGACAACAACATTTTAGGACAATTTTGACACACTAAAAGAAAAGCTGACTCAGACACCCGTGCTAGCACTACCTGACTTCAACCAACCTTTCGAGGTAGAATGCAATGCATCCGACGTAGGGGTCAGAGCAATACTAAGCCAGGGAGGACACCCCATCGCTTTCTTCAGTGAGAAGTTGAACGAGTCCAGGAAGAAATACTCAACCTACGACAAAGAATTTTATGCATCGTAAGAGCTCTGTAACACTGAAGTCATTACTTTTTAACTAATAGGTTTACACTATTTACAGATCACGAGGTCCTAAAATTTCTCAACAGACAAAGCAAACTAAAGGGACGACATGCTACATGGGTGGAATTCTTAGCCTCATTTCAGTTGGTGCTAAAACACAAGGTGGGAAACTAGAACCGCATAATAGATGCATTGAGTCGTCGACACCTATTGATCACATCATTGCAGACTCGACTTATGGGCTTCGAGGTCATAAGGGATCTATATAACAAAGACAAGTTGAGAATGTCGGATTATACACTCTACTTCCAGTACCAGAGGCACCTTGGGTGGATGTCAGCATGGATTCATGCTATGACTTGCAATGACTTGAATGAATAAAGATTCCGTAATGGTTGTAGTTGACATAGTCTCCAATATGGCCGACTTTGTGCCCTATCACCAGACACTAGACGCTTCTCACATTTTTGCTTCACGAGATTGTAAGGTTGTACAGGATTCCCAAGATCATCACCTCCGACAGAGACGTTAAATTCCTGAGCCACTTCTAGAGGACAATATGTGGAAAGCTTGGCACCAAACTCCAATTCAGCTTGATAGTGCATCCATAAACAGACGGATAGACAGAGTTAGTAAATCAAAGTCTCAGTAATCTCTTGAGGTGTTTCGTGGGAAAAAAACATAAAACAGTGGGATCTTATCCTAGCCCAAGTTGAGTTCTCCTACAACCGATTCATCAACCAAACTACTGGACGAACGCTTTTCGAGATTGTGTACGGGCGCAATCTGCTCACACCACTTGAATTGGTATCACTCCTGCCATCTTCGGAAATCAGCAAGGATGCCACAAAATGAATTCACGAGATTCAGAAGCTCCATGAAGAAATTGGCAAGAAATTTGCTAAG